CATATTGGCGGACAAGATCCTGCAGCTCCTCAGCATGCACGATGAGGTTGAGACCACAGATCTGGGCAAGACGGAACTCCTTCTTGTTGACGCACGCTTCGTTGACCTGCTTCCAGACCTTGACACTGTTGGCCTTGCGAGCACACTCCACAGCAGCTTGGTAGTCTTCCAAGTGTACCAAGGTTGTGGCAAGCTTGGCCCAATTCGAGATACTAGTGTAGAAGATCTTGGCAGCTTCATGGTAACCTTCCTCATAGGCCTTGTCACCAGATGTCTCAACATCAGCAACATTGGTCGACCGCAAGAAGTCCTCAAGTTCCGAGAGCTGATCAAGGCGGGCATAGGCGAAGGCCAAAGCAGTGTCAATTGGGGGCTCCCGCAAGGTCTTGCGGGCCATCTTAAGATACTTCACGAGATCCTCGTCCTTGCCAGCGTGGGTTGCGGTTTCAATAACCTCGAGGTAGTTCGAGGGGTCACCAGCACGAATGTACGACTCGATAGAGTCAGACACACGAAGACCGTCCAGTTGTGCCTTGGCAACCTTGCTCCATACGTCCGGCAACTCAACACGCTCAGCAAACTCTTGGGCACGATCAATGCTAACAATGTTCTCGACCAGGACGTTGACGGCGGCAATGTAGTTGTTGACCTTCTTGTAAATTTCAAAGGCCTCTTCGTACAAGCCGACCGAGATACACATTTCCGCGATCTCATCGGGGCTAAATTCGTTGAGCTGATGAATATAATCCATCAGGCGGCCCTTGTCAGCCTTAGCAGCAGTGAGCATAAGCAGGTTCTGCAAGCTGCCATTGTCACTGAAGGGTGATGGCTCAAGGATGATCTTCTCCAGCAGCTCGATAAGCTCACCAGGCAGATCGGCCTCAAGGAAGGCTTTAACAGCAACAGACACCTTGTCAGGTTCCGTCGATTCAGGCACCGCGGTTGCGATAACCTGGTCAACCATGGACCTACGGTGAACGTTGTTTTCGCTCAAAACGAAAGACCAGATTTCCGTATCAGCCCTCTCGACGAGGTAGCGTGCCTGGGCCCGATACATGGCGTTCTCATTGGTGATGTTGATGAGCTCCAGGTCATTTTGACCCTTTCTATACGCGATATAGGCCAGGTTCGGATCGCGCTTCTCACAGTACTTGCCGACAGTCAGGGTATCGTACATATCGTTCTCCTTGAGGAACTTCTCAGGATCATTATTGCTATCGATATAGATCTTCGCAAGAGCATTGTACACAGCCTGTTGCTGATTACCAGTTGCAAGAGTAGCCTCAAGGAAAGGCAAGAGGAGCTTGAGCCTATTCCGAGTCTCCACTTCGTTGACAAGCTCATCGATCGGAATAACGGCTGGATCTACCGTAGAGAGAAGGTTCTTGATAATGCTCTCTTCGCAATCAACGTCCAGTAATCCTCCAACCACTGCCGGAGCACGGGAAGGGTTGACACGCTGTACATAGACCTCAATAGACTTGTACTGCTGGTTCTGGTAGAGATAGAGAACGAGATCATGGATGAAGTTGAATCGATCGCAGACAATGATCAGTGGGAGCTGTTCTGTCAACTTGGCCTCCTTCAGGAAGTTCTTCACCTTTTCGGCGTTGTAGTAGTTGCTCTCACGGCAAATGCGCTCAACCTCAGTAATCTGGCCCATAGCAGTAGCAGCTTCAATGTACTTGAAGTGGACCTCGGGGTCCTCGCTAAGGTTAACTATGCTTCCAAGGTAGTAGTAAAGACCTTCGGCAGTACGGTACTTCTCGAAAAGACTGATGAGGCTACCAGGGCCCAGGAGATCGGAGAACTTGGTGGCAAGCTGAACAACGGCCTGCAGGTTCTGGCGGATGTTCACCTGCAACATCGTATCCATGCAGTCGAGAGTCTGCTCAACAGAAAGACGACCGAAGTAGTTCATCAACCATTCAGGACTCAGCTTGTCGGTGCGGACGATGTTACGCTTGATGGCTGCAGGGTCATCAGTGTTCTCCAGGGCGCGTTGAATGAGGCCAGCATTCTCGCACAGCTGGGAAATTCTGGGACGATCGTAGTGAGTGAAGATCTCGTTGCCAAGGATAGCATCAGCCACCTGAGGGGCGTTGACCAGGTTCATCTCCAGTAACCGTGTCTGCAGATGGCCATGCTCAGGCTTGTTATCCTTGAGGGCATCCAACAAGAAAGAAGTCGCCTGCTGGATCATGTTCTGAGACAAGAATACGTCCACAACACGGTCCAGGTCAATCAGAGCACCAGATTCCTCGTTAGCAAGCTGAGCAGCAAATTCGGCACCCTTTTCGGGATTCACACGCACGATATGCTGCAGCAGCTGGGTATAGTCAGGCTGATAACCGGCCTGCTTAGAGTACGCGAGAATCTTATCGAATTGCCCAGTCTCTGCAAAGCCAGCAACGACCTTTTGAGGAACATTGGCTTGCAAGTAAATTTGCAGAGCCAGGTTCATGTCATAGGGTCGAATGATATCTCCAAGTTCCTCAGAGCCCTCCAGCTTTTCCTCACGCATCCACTTCTCAAGGAGATGCTTCCGGTTTTGCTGCAAGACGGGACGAACGAGTTCAACACTCTCGTATTTGTTCAGAGATCCCTTATCCAAAAGCATTCCAAAGTACTGGAGAATAACAGACATCTGCTGTCCGGTCTGAGGAGCATTCTTGAAACGGTTAATGGTTTCGGGAGTGCGAAGGAATCCGCGGGGCGAGTTTGCGGCGATCTTAGCAGCCTCGGAGTAGTTGCCCTGGGCAAGGAGGTTGTCAAACTGTTGCTGATATAGGTGGTCCGCACCGGGAAGTCCAGCCTTAGAGGCAAGCCTCACTGCAAGCCCAGACATAGCAGGGTTTTCCATCAAGTACTGAACAATTGTGCTCTCATCGACGCTAACGGACAGAACCTGACCCTTGCGGTTCACACCAACCAAGCCAGCCGAATCTGAGTCGGGTGCGGTAGTGAAAATGGTCTCGCTGGAAATCCGGTTCATGAAAATGCAGGTACCAGTCTCGAGGTCATAGAGATGGATGAAGCCGTACTTGGTGACAAGATACACGACATCGTACTTCCGAGATACTTGCATCGCGACCGGGAAGTCATTGACAGCCTCCTGGGGGAAATACACCTCAACAGCCTTCTTCTGGAATCGGGGGTTCGGTTCTTGGTGGTCAATCTCGGCAATCTGTAACTTGGCACCGGTCTGGGTCCGAACGGCAAAGGTGAAGAGCTTATGTTCCAAAGGAGAACCCTCGACTCGAATCGAAGCGAAGGCGGCAGCATGTCCTTCAATGAATTGCGAAATCCCGCGTTCCTTAGAGTACAGCTGCATCGAGCCCACAACACGCCCCTGCTGCTGGCTGATTCCAACCACTACCATCCATTTCTCATCATCATTAACGCGATAGTTGATAATTTGGCACCCCTATGAAACATCAATATATCAGCTTTCCAGTTCCATCCGCTTGTTTATATGTGTTTGATGCATATGACGTACGCTCAGGTTAGGGAGTCGGTCGAAGATCTTGAGTGGCTGGGACTGGGTAGGGTCGAAGACATCCCAGTGGTAAACAGACGTCTCCGTTACCAAACCTAAGCACTTGTCGCTGAACCACTTCCAGTAAACAACATCCTCATTCATCACCGCTGACTTCAGCTTTTGTTTCGCCCCCAGATCGAAGATTTGGATTGTGCGGCCTTGAGCCTTCAAAGCGATGATGTTTCGGGTCCAGTGCATGATAGCACTATCGGCGTTAATTGGCCGTTTGAGGACTTCATTGTTGTTCTTTAGGTTGATGATGATGACTTGAGGTTTGTCCTCTTCATTGAGCTTTTGCCGAACGCAGACATAGTGATCCGATTCTAGAGTCTGTTGCGGGGAGGGGGGCAATTAGCACGCTGTAGATCAATTGAGGGGCAACAGTGTAATATGTGTGTGTGTGTGTGTGTGTGGGACTTACACATGAGTTGAACCCGATCGATGCCGGCTGGTAGAGATAACAACGTAAGTAGATGTTGACAACAGTTAGGGTGGGTATGGTGCGCGACTAGCACCGCAGCCTTAAAGACCACGAGCTGACAGTGCGACAAGACATACCGCAATTTCAGCATTTGTCAACTGCAAGTATAGGAAAACATGTCAGCCTCTCATCACTATTCTGATAGTATTGAAGTCAAGGGTCGGGGAATACATTAATAAGCTCCGTAAACTTGATAGGGAGAGGAGCCATATTTACGTAGGCCGCAGGACGACCTCACCCAACCAACGAAACGCCACGCAAATAAATTCCACCGGGTTATAAGGAAAGAGAAAGAAAGGAAATTTAAAATTGAAGCTAAAGACGGAAGGAAGGAAAAGAAGTAAGAAGGGGAGGGTAAGGAGGCTTTGAAACAGGGAGAGGGTAAGTTGATGATAGACTGGGGAAGCGGAAGTGACCTCAGGAGACCGGCGCGGCCGTCGTTGCTGAGGTGTCGCTTATGGGGCGTCACGTGCAGCCAGGGGCAGATAGAGAGACGGTCTGGCCCTGCTTTGAACACCCAAAGACACTGATCTCCATGAATTAGAATTGAATTCGAAAAAGGAGGGGGGTCTTTTATTTCAATCACATCAAGCTTATAAGATCGTCATTTCTATAAATGAAAGGTCGAATTCATTGTCTTGTTTCCAGACTAAGAATTCAACTGCTGATCGAACAATGAATTTGAACCCAAGTTACTGCCATTCACCTATTGCAGAGAGTCATTTTCATATGGCTCACTTTACTGCCAGTCTCATAGTTATATCCAAGGAATATGAGAGGTGAAAGGAGCTATATGTACTTGACTCCTTTGCGATTGTTTTGCACACGAGTGCGCCCTTAGTTGGCAGAGTGGCACAGCTTAACTACTCTCAGATAAAATAAAGTCTACTCTTAGAACCTTTAAAATAAAAAATAAAAATAAAAATAAAAAACTCAATTGTAAGCTTCATCACAGATCCTTCAGAATCATAACTTCATTCATTCGTCACGTCCACCTGCATATGGTACATAGCATCCCCACACCCGGTCCCAGAAAGCTGCAAGGGCAAGCTCATCCATTTCATACATATCCACATTTTCAAGCTCCTTTGACGAAAGGCAGTCTATTGCTTTCTCCCATCTAGTAACCCAGTCCAGACTGGACATCGCCCGGCTCCCTGGACTAAAACCATTGTTAGCCGTATACACAGATCCTTGATGAGTCTATATCTACCTTAGCTTTAATTCCACTCGAGCATTCCATCCATTTCCTCTGTTCAAGCCAGTTAGTATGGCGCAATTCACATAGCTGAAAGATACAATGACATGCCTCGAAGCCCAGGTGCGCTCATGGCGAGCAGTCTCCTCGTCAAGGTCATGTAGCACGTTGGTTTGGTGCCTGTCGGAGACTGTGTCCAGTGAAGAGAATGTTTCACTATGCGAAGGATCCTCTCGGGTAATCTTATCTGTATCTGGTAACCTGGAAAAGTGCACCTGCTGCTTCGGCAGTTCTATGGTGGCCCTGATAGTCGCGTCAGTTCGTAGATCGGCAACTACTAAACAGAGCTATTCAGGATACCACGCAGGTCCAACCTGGCAGTACCAACATACACGTGTGCATCCTCCTTGGGCTCTGATGCTCTTTGTGCCGGCCCCGTCCAGGGACAATAATATCGGCCTGCGCAGAGACTCAAGGCACTGCAGCTGCCGCCCGATATTATGAATAAGAAAAATGAGATCTTAACCATCTTTGTGATGTATTTCGCAGTTGAACTCGGAAGTTAACGTCCTGTGGACTGGAGAATCTCTCTGGGGGGGCTGCTCTTGCCCATATTTCTTTTGTCTCTTCGTGTAGTATAATGTCGAGTCTCGACTTCCCGAACCTCCCGAACTTACATCGTGACGTCAAAGAATATAGAAATCAATGGCACACCCCACGGGTTACAATTTACCGTTTACTGAAAACAGATTCAGTTACACGTATTTCTCAGGGGTAATCTGCGTCAGGGGAATTCACAATCTAAGTAGGAACAGCACCATTACATATGCCTTGTTGAATATAGGGTCTCGAGTAACTGATGATCTCCCAGGTGTACCGTGCGAGACGCAGATAGATGAAATTAGATGGATACATACTCATGCAGTCTGTAGGAAGCAAAAGACTCTTCACTCCTCAGGCACCTCCACGCGTTGATTTTTGTTCGTTTTGTTAGTCAATCAAGTTGTTCCAGTGATGACGCGCGCACTCGAGGGTTTATGTGGTTGAGTATGTACATTCCATGGGTTGCTATGGTTGAGGCCCCCGGGAACAAAAACTCAATTGATTCCGTTCTCTACATCCTCTCTCTTCTGAAAGGAGAAGAAAGAAACTGAATAAGGGGAAAGGTACAGGAAATAAAACACCCATAACCCCCGTGTAGAATAGGTATACAGAAATATAGGGTGATCGTCAGGGTTACTTGCAACGGTTTTAAGATGATTGACGGTAGCACTTCCCAATCAAGTAATAACTTTCACACATAAATAACGAGTAATTCACTGCCTGAGGCCTTGGAAGTCATGTGACCTACAGCTTATCCTTCTTAATGTTCCTTCCCGCCCACCGTGCGCATACATAAAGTGATCTGTCCACCACACCACAGCTTAGAGCATCTCAACTATTCGTGCTCTTTGTGCTATCTATGTGTTGGCAGTACTACTACCTAGCCTAAATGAGGCATATTATGGTCATTTCACAAAAACTTAATACATGATTGGCCGATAAAGCTTAATCCTACAATGCGGGAAGGCTCCTGGTGTGGACTGTGTGTATCTATCATAAACTGAGCTAGAGGTTCACTAAACTATGTATAGCCATCCCCGCCAATGGTTAGGTGGTCATGTATGGAAAATCACAGTATAAAGTCCCAAGTGAGAAACCATGTTAAAATTGTGCCTGACTTGACAGTGGCTTCTTGCATCAATCTAACGGATCCGAGAGTACTGGGATCGTATCTCTTATATGCATATTGTCCGCAAAGGGACAGACATGAAGATGCTTTAACGCACCTAGGGGACAAATGTGGCCATATATACATTTCGGATGCGTACAACCATTTCCATTATTGCAAGGAGCTTGACCGCGTGTGAGGTACCGCAAGGCCTCAAGCTCCTCCTCCGTGAGATTTACGTCGTGCCGATGAGAGCAGTTCGGATTCCGACATCTCTCGGTGAGGTAGTGTGCACGGCACAGCTTCAGTCCTTGCACCTTATTCAGGGTGTCGATGAGGTCACTGTTCTCTTTGTGGACACTACGCGAATAGCTTAAACTGTCAAGGTCTAATCGTTGTCCACTCTTATTGCGTATCACAGGCGGTCCTGTCCGAGAACTGCGAATAACCGACACCTGGGATAGTGACCGAGATGTGAGCGGAGGTGATTTCGTCGGCCCCACCTCGCTTGATGGTGACAGAGGACCATTGCTTGCTCGGCTCGCTTTTAGCTCCTCTCGTGCTTGCTCCAACTTCTTCTCTGTACGCGTTGTTAAACGAGAAGCTCGAATGTAATATTTTCAAACGTACCTAAGTCATTTTTCTCTTTTATGGTGTTGTCATACTTATTGTAGAGCTCTGAATATCGCTTCCTTAGGCCCTTATAGCCGACACAGCCTTTATGTTTCCTACATTCATTGCAGAAAAAATCTCCCGATGGGCTATGAGCCCACAGCTCAGACATGACCTCAAAAGCCTCAGGTCGTGCGTCCTGATTCTCGCTTATCATTCTCAGTATCAGCTCTTGCATGCCAGCGTTCGTGCCAAAGCCACCTCTCCCTGCCCCATCAAAAATGACCCTCACCCAAAGAATTCGTAATGCAGCGTGTCGGATTTGCGAGTCTTTCGAGAGCGACAGATCGGACTTGGTGTAGTCATTCATATCAGATCTACGCCTGCCCAGAATATAGGTATATATCTCCATGAAAACGAGACCGAGGGAATACACATCAGACGGGTAGGAACGACCCGTTTCATACACACACTCCGGAGCACTATATCTCATCGTTCCTGCGTAAGGGCCCACCGTATGAGATGACAGGTCGCTCTTGAACGCCTTGGAGATGTTGAAATCGGTGATGTAGACCCCGTCCTTGCTCACCAGCACATTCGATGGTTTGATGTCCTTGTGGCGGATCCGGCGCTGGTGTAGGTAGAGGAGGGCGCTGCATACACAGCCGCAGATGCGTTGCAGATGGGGGAAAATATCACCTGGCTTCCATGGGGCTGCCTTGGGGCCGGTTTGGATCCATCCGAGCTCGGACAGCAGGGTGCTCACCGGGCTCTTTTGTTCGTGATACTGGGCTTCGTCCAGTCCCTGGAGTAGCCTCTCCAGGTCGCATGTCGCAAACGGATACATAAGGATGCTGGCAAAGCCCCTGGAGGTAAGCGATCCGATAAAGGTAACCAGGTGGCGATGTTTTAAATCCTCAAGAATCTTCACTTCATCACGAATCTTTTTTGCTGGAATGTCGGAAAGTCGCATCGTCTTCCGGGCCACGACGATTCTTTCTTCGTCAACCGTCAAAATACTCCGACACACGCGCCCATATGATCCCTTATATTCGAGCTGCTGGTCATCTTCCAGAGGCACGACATCATTTTGCCGAAACTCGATGTTTACCTGTCCCTTACCCGACCAATGACCTTCTCTTCGGGACAGCCGCTCACAGATCTTTTTACCAGGGTAGTTTGAGGCTTTAACCGGATCTTCTCCAATGCCATGCTCACCCCATTTTGTAGCCATCATGTCGGCTCCGAAGAAGAAAGCTTGATGGACGAAGTAAGAGAGTACGGTGAGTGACTGCAGTTTGGACAAGATTTGATTGGAATAGCCTTTCAGGGTATTGTCTCCTCTCAGTGAGAAGATCCTTAGTTAGGCCGCTGACTAGGTGAGGGATGAATGCTGGAAACCCACAAGGCTGGAAGAGTTGGAAAGAGCTGCTTAAGTCAATACCCACAGTACCTTAACTAACACAATTGATACGTGCTAAGCCACATTAGCCTGTCCCCCCCGCAAATTATGCCAGCTTCCCCTCCTTGTGACTGCTCTAAAGCACTCCACAGTTCATATTTGTACATATTAATGGATTTATTTTACTTTCTGGCTGTGTCCTTGTCATTCTACCCCCTGACAATAGCACTGGATATGTGATGTAGATGAACTATCGCTGTTACATAAAAGTCCCCTCAATCTACAGACATTCGGTTCATAGGTTTCACCACCAGCTTCTCAAAATGATAGATATAGCTATCCATCTGGATCTGATCGTCCATCGCTTCACCCGGATCCAGACAGTTGATGACAATGTCGGCATATATTTTACCCATCGCAAATTGAATGGCTTGGATTAACCCGCCCCGATTCCCGAGAATATGCGATTTGATGTCGCTCGGGCTGACCATTCGTTGCACATTGGGGATCGACTTCCACAAGCCAATTTCTACAAGCAATATTCCAAGTGAATAGAGGTCATATTGCATACAGTATGGAAATTCCCGATGCCGCGGCATCTGGGTTTGGATGAGTGGGTGTCTATACCAGTCATCGTTCACCAAACGCGAATGAGCTTCTTCCGTTAGATTAGGCTGTGCTGCCGGGCGAGAATCTTCGAATCCCGAAATATATGGCTTGCCATAGGCAATGTGCCCGTTATGGTCCTCAAAGAGCAGGATATTCGCTGGCCGCAGCCCTTTATGTAGCCACCCGACCACATGAAGTTGGAACACCGTCTGGACGATTCCCTGAGCGAGAGCGACCCTCTCTCCGAGACTGGGCATCTGGCTCTCTAGGGACAGACAGTGAGAGAGTGGGATGATGGTTTGGTCAGCATGTTCGGTGTGCTTCTCGAAAACCAAGCCGAACGACCCACCCTCCTCGTAGTAGCCAACACAGTGCGCTACACGAAAGCTCTGCGGTAGCTTTAAGCTTAAGAGTGTTGCTAGTTCTTGGACAATATGATGCTCAATTTCATCCTTCGTCGGGCCCGCCGTTTGCTGTGAACTGGAATAGTCCTTGTATTCCACCCAGAACCCTTTATTGCCGTCCTTTGTCGCATCTTGACGTTGAGGCGACGGGTATTTCATTTGATCCGAAGGCCAGACTCTTTCAGGCGAGATTTTCAAGGAAGCTTGAAGACTCCCGTCATCCTTGTTGTGTCTCGATTGCAATCGCATTTCTTTCAACTCAGCCAGTTTTCGGAGGAGATCCTCCGGCTCACTCAGCGGCAGCTGTGATAGCTGGCTATTACGACGATTCTCATTGACGGCAATTATCAGCTCCTTCAGTCCATTGACGGTATCCTGTAGGCTAAGCAAGCCCATTAGCGTCGCTTTCACGGTTTCCTGGATCTCTTGCTGCGTTTTCACCTCGGTTAGGGCGATGACACTATTATTGACATGTATCATACATTCTACCAAATCTTGCAGCTCGTCCATCTTCCAATGCGCCCAATGGATACGGTCCCTGAGTCTAACCGTCCCCTGCTTCGCCTTTTGGTACATGTGGTCCAGCCGGAACCGTCGCGCCATGCCTCTATGATACACGCTCAGTGTCTCCTCTCTTTTGTCCTTTGGGACAAAACCGGGGGTCGTTGTCGTGAAATACAAGACCTTCTGCCACAGCGGCTCAATATATCCCTGAACCAAGTACCGAACATGTTGGGGGATGGAAATCGTCAATCCATCTTCCTCCTCTGATTCTTCCCGCAGTAATCCGAAGCTATGGCCCCAACTCAGAAGCTTCCCTTGCTCGATTTCCAGACGATACCGCAGCCTTTGATACTGCTCAGGTACATCACGTGCAGCCAGCATCAGCTGGATACCTGTATATCATCACATCGAGTTAGATTCGCCCATCTTCACTCATTGGAGGTTGGACCTTCCTTGCACCGTCCCCGCATAGACCTGGAAGAATAGAGAAATCCCGGAAAGGGCTAATCCAGCTACCCCAATCGGATCGGCCATTGTGTTGTTAAACAACTAGATGCAGAGTAAGGGAAAACGACAGGAACTGATGGAGAAAAGGCCTCGTACTTGATCGCCAGCCGCGCCCTCACGCGGGATAGCCCCTCTTCCTGTTGGATCAGGGCCCCTGCGACTGATCGGCCTTTTCCCAATCAAAATGTCGCTTGTTAGTCTCCTCATACAGACTAGTGCTTGGCCGCGTCAGATACGAGATTTTAGCATCAACTTCGGCACGATCCGTTGGCTGGATTATTCTGGGAGAGGCCATCATCTACCTTTCCTCAACGAACGAGGACTAAGTTGATTCCTCAAATTGTAAGACTGACTATACATGTGTTTTTTTTTTTTTTTCTTTTTTTTTTTTTCTTTCTGGGTTGATTGTGGCTACACTCTTTAGCCATGGATGTATGTCTGCTGTGATTCCAACGATTTCAATACTACGTATATAGCGTTTCTGGATAAGATCACCAACAAAACTTGTGCGGCTACTAGTCTCGTATCACGCCAAACTACTGGGACACTAAGACGTCGCATAGCGTAAAAACCCCGCACAAACGAGGCGCAGGAATGCATAGCACAGTGACAGGTCAACTGGCCGTCTCCTTTTCTGGGATGATGGAGGGCTTTTTCACCTTGGGCTTCCTTTTCGCTTTCTCCGGACTTTCATTTGCGGAGCTTTTCTTTGCCTTGGGCTTTTTCTCGTCGACCGGTTTCACGGACGTGGTTGGTTCCTTCGTATAGGGTGGTGGTGGATGGCGAAATGTGCAGCTCTTGTTGGTGCACCCGATTCCATACCGACATGGTTTCACTTCGGGATGGAAGAGCTTGCAATTTTGAGCCACACAGTTGACGCCAGCCGAACAGGGAGCGACACGAGGATGCTTGAACGAGCAGGCTGCATTGGTGCATCCTACCCCATACCGGCAGTCGGGCGCTTCTGGGTGGGAGAAGGTACAGCCCAACTTCCTACATCCGGCCCCGTTGCGGCAGGCCTGCGATTTGGGATGGCGAAACCCGCATTTGGAATTGGTGCAGCCAGCCCCATACCGACAAGGCTCCGCATCAGGATGGCTGTACTTGCACTCTATGGCCCGACATCCGGCGCCATTGCGACAAGGCGCAGGTTTAGCCTTTGCGTTCTCTTTCGCTTTCGTAGTCTCTTGCACCGCTTCCTTGACCACACTGGGTTTCTTCTCCGCTGTGCGAGACTGCTGCATTTCGCTCGTCATGCGAAGTGTTCCTCGTAGCAGGTTCGTTGCATCCTGGAGACGGTTGACGGCCTCTGTAAATTTCTCGCCGTCTGTCGACTTCCACTTGACTCGCTCCATGGTCGACATCTCGCTCCGGTACTTCCGCCGGATGTTCAAGAGCGTGTTCAACGCCCCCGCGCACGGCGTCAGATGGCTTTCCAGGTTGGTCAGTGCTCCGCTGTTCACGGGCTTGCGCAAGACGGATTTGTAGAAATCCAGCTCCGACACCAGTGCGTCCAGGGCGGGAAGCGCAGTGCTGAACTTGCGCTGGCCGGTGTTGCATTCTGCTCGTGCGTTCCGCGCGAGGTCGAGCAGGCTTTCAGCTGTCGCCATGATTCCCTAGCTGGGTAAATTTGGTTGGCCCGCGGGTAGTGTAAAATGTGGTAATAGATCTCTGAAGTGGTGGATAGAAGAAACTAGATTGTAGATGACAGAGAAAATCGGGCGATGGTTATATGATCACGAAGTTAGTTGCAATGAAATGTATATCACATGCGCAAGAGTGACAGCCTCACGCCTCATCCAGTCTTATTGACCCTGGCTGATCCTGTCCAATAATCGCCAACTGTTCGCCACGTATGGTGAGCCTATACCTCCCGGTATAGCGCAAAACCAATCAAAGTACTGAATCACCCCGCTTCAACATGTTCACGACATACTCGCAGTTGCCATCGAGGGTGTTGTTGGATCGCTTACGCTGCTGCTGTGCACTGGGCACAGCCTTGGAAGGATTCCTGTGTCAATATCTAGTCCGCAATAGGAAGCTGAAAGGCTGGCGGCAGCAGATCTTCCGAATCATAGGCTGTGGTTTGCATACTCCGATCATCATTGGCAGCCCCCCCCTCCTGTTCTGTATTGTTTCTTGAGCTTGTATTACCATTGTTGGTGGTAGAGCAGCCACATAGTGAATGTCTGTGGAGAAGGAGATACAAAAGGATTGGTTGACCAAACTATTTGCTACCCCTTTAGTACTTAGGGCTCTACATCCCCACAAATTTATCTCGGCACATAGAGAGAGGTCGACTAGGCATCAAGAGCCCCCCCAACGTCGAGACTGTCCCCGCATGTACAACTGAAGAGGCCAGGATCGTCCTTCGGTACTCAAGGGGTTCTTTGGACTCCGGCTAACTAGGTGAATGCTATTTATATAAAAACGCTAAGATTTCGGTAAGAAATACGGAAATCTGGTCTATTATCCGTTAGCTCGATTTCAGTCCGCCGTAGCAGAATCTTGGTTATCCCCAATAGAAGAATTATCTTCCGTATGAACATCCGCGGGCAAGCAAAACAGTATTGATTTTAACTCCTGTTCTCGAGGGCCTCCAAGTTGAATTCGGCGCTTATAGGGGAGATGAAAGATGAACTATCTTATTCTAGAGTGCCCGAGTGATCTCCAGCCACAGAAATCGCGTATGATATATACTTGAATATTAATAGCCAAGACCCTGCAATTCGACGGTACTTTTTTCTAGGAGTATAGTTTATTGAAAATTGAAAATTGAAATATTGGTGGATTCTCCTCAGGAAGTTAGCGCCATTACTAATATGAATATATTCCTACTATACCATACTTCTAGGGAAGCTACTGATATCCTCTAACGGCGAGGATTGATGTTTTGGAAATGTTGTACGAAGAATATTATTTTATATAAGCCCGGCGATGACGAATGTAGTAAAACAGTAGGTTTGTCTCTACTCCTTGGGACTTGTTTTTTTATTTTTAAATATATAACACTAATGACTCCAGACGGATGACCGATACATAATTAATATGCGCACATTCTGTATTCTTCACCCTAGCAATGCTATTTCTGTGGGACGCACAGCAACCGACCTCAGCTTGGATATAATCCGGGACAATAAACGCTTTCAATATCTCCTTCAGCCCGTCACTAAGGGATACAACCTCCATCGAAAGGCGTGGAATAATCTTGCCGTGGATCATATCTCCGACAGTAAGATAGAACAGTAAAGCATTCCATTCCCTCGTCATCGAGAAAAGAGCTAAAAGCCTCATTGAAGCTCTCATCGCCAGTCAGTTAGAACAAGAGGAACTCACTGACCTAATTAGTGGCAAAGGCAGCGGCTTAATCTTATTATTCCATGGCGGACCAGGGACTGGAAAAGACACTGACAGCGAGGGAGTCCGCAGGTTTCCAACCCCTCATCAGATCTATAGATGAGGAGAAACTCCAAATGGCAGGTGGGTCTCAAATGACATTCAGTACCATCTCAGTATAGCCCTCTTTTTCTATCTATACCTATATTGCAACTCTGAACTTATCATGCTTTTAAAACGAGACGTATACTCAAGTTGAATGCTTCGGAACTACGTATGGCATTGGTACCACGTCCTGGAATCAATCAGGAACCGAGCAGAGCCTACGCACCATATAACGCAAAGTTAGTGTTAGAGTGGTGAAAAAGAAAAGAGGGTCACAAGTTCCACAACTTAATCCACTTAGTTGACTTCTATTTTCACACAATAGCTTGAGAACTATGCTAAAAGGAAGCCCAACTCCTACAGAATGACCTTTGCCCAGCTTGTCTGGCCTATTCGCATCCTTCGTCGATCCGTTGTCATGGGGCCTACATGGTACCTTGATTTAGGAAAAGGCAGCGATGGCCTTTTGGTATTCCGCATCAAGACGCGCAGCCTCAGCAGAAATGGTGGATGCGTCACCCGAAGTGACCTTCGCCTGGAGCTCAGTTGAGAGCTGACCAGTAAGACCATGGAGGGAGTTGAGATCTGAAACGACAACGCTGGTAACTCCAGCAGAGTCAAACCCGGATTTCTGTCAATCTTGTCAGTGGTCTATCCCTTGAAAAGATCCCAAAGCCGAGGATAACACACCTTAGATACAAGATCATTGAGAACGGTCACAATATTAGGCTCCAGACCAGTCACAGCATTGGTCACGCTTGTGCTGTCAGCGGCACTGAATGCAGTAGATGCTTTCACATCGCTGACGGTTTGCTTCAATGTTGTCTCCACTACGCCTTCCTTCTGCTGGACGGCCAAGGCACCATTGAGCGTTCCATCGAAACTCGAAATAGCAGAGCCGAGAGCCGACAGGTCGGTCGAGAGTGTACCAAAATCAGCGAGGACAGCGGATGCATCTCGCTTGTCGAAAGGAATGGCGGAAGCGCCAACGGACAGAAGGACAGCAAGGACGTGTTTGGCAAGCATTGTGCTCAGGTAAAATTGAATGCAAGGAAGGTTTCTTCGGGATGATTGTGTGTCTGAAATGATTCTTGGTTCTCAAGATTCCAGGAAAGAGGGAATTCGAGCTCCCTTATATACCCCAAACCTTGGATGAGCAGACAGAAGCCCCCGTCTCCATGTTGGTTCTTCCGTTGAAATCCCACGATTCGGAGGACTCTACGATGTCAGGCGGGGTATGAACAAACGACCTCTCTGTGTATGGTGGACAATTTGATTTTTGGTCGCCATAACTGCATATACTATGATTAGCACCATGCAATACAGAATCACATCAGCAAACCCCATTAGGTAAGATTGAATTTCTGGTGATTTGGATTGCTCAGCAGGCGATGACGCTCCCAAAGAACCGCTTCTGCTGGTTGATCGTCTCA